AAAAAATACAAAAAATAAATTTGTTAAGAGATAAAACTTGAAAGCATACCTTATGAGGAGCAATGCCCAGTAGTGTGCCAAGCTCACCAAAACTATTTCAAACACATAACATTATAATTTTAAAATGCTAATACCAAGTTTATAAACTTGATTTTTTTCATATTGTTTTAAACATTGTCATAAAGTTTAAATGCTAACAACAACACAGAAAGAAGAAGCAACAATAGTGATAGTGGCATACCTTATGTTTGTATACAGCTTGCTTGCACTCAAGAGATTATGTTCAATCATTGCACGATCAAGAACAGTAACATTATCAGGTAAAATTGCTTTCTGTTGAAGAAGCAAAGATGTTAGAAATGATCACAATTAAGATTAATAATTGAAGGTTTTAATGATGATACCTGATGTGCTTTCAGTTCTTCAGAAAATGCATCTATCTCAGGCTTCCTCAATATTCTTTCCAAATACACCTGAAAATCTCAAAACCATTTCAAGATTATCAACTTCACCTTCAACTTCAAATAATACCTCCACCAATTAAATCCGAGACAATACCAATCAATACCTTTTGCAAAATTGGATAAATTTTTAACCTTGAGCATCGCTCATCCTTCAAGAGAATAAATTGATAGAACAAAAGTTGTGTTTGTTAGTAGCCACATGTCATATCATAAATGATAATAAATTGATAGTGGACAGGTGTCATAAAGCAAAAAAGTAATTACTTTGTACAAAGTTGCAAGAACACGTGACCTCTGAGGACCAGCAGCAGCCAAAATTGTGCAGGTCACTGCAGCAGCTAGGGCCTGTTCTAGTGCATCTTCATCAATCACTCTGTTACCAAAAAAAAAAAAAAAAAACAATTCATAGATATAAAAACTAAAGATTTATTACAATTTACATGTATTCAAATTATTGTAAAATACTTACTCGTCTCCAATTTGGCGTTTTTCAATTTGTGAAATGTCATAATAGCGAAGTGCAGCTTCCAAGAACTTCCTTTTTAAATCAAGTATCCTTGCATAACAAACCTTAAACAAAAGAAGGAAAATATAATAATAATAATCAAGTTTTAATGTAATATAAATGAAGCCTTGTTAGGAATTCAAGTTAAAGCAAATTTCCAGCAGTCTTCTCAACCTTATACTGTAAGTTCAATACTTCATGCTGACTGTTGCTAACCAAAAAAGAAGCTTTGTTGATAAAAGCCTCTGCATTCACAGCATCATCATCCTGCCAAAATACAGTTACATAACAAATCCACAAGTTATAAACAATAAAACAAGTAGTTTGTGGGAAGGACCATGAACTTTTCTTGTAAAAATCTAGATAGGGTTGCTACAGCAAATTGAAAAACGCCAAGATGATAACTATTCAAAACAAACAGTAGCAATGTAATGCAAAAAATGCAAGATCATAATAATAAATAACTATTAATTCTTTCTGTTAGTTAAATGATACCTCGAGGTATAGACGAGCAATTTGCACACATTTTGTCATCCTAAACTTATCATCAATCACTCTGCAAAGATGAAATAGGCAGAGATTAGTCTGAATTAACATGAAAAAGGGTAAGGAAACAAATACAAGTGCTAAGTAGAAAATATGAAGTACTAATAACTAGACCACAATCGCTGAAGTTCAAATAATACCGATTTTATAAATATTTAAGAATGGAAGAAAAGGAAGATCCATTCTAGATTGAAGACAGATATACAAGAGAAGAAACCATCATTGTCACAAGGCAACCTTTCTCTATATTTCTAATTACTCTTCTACTCATCAACTATGTTCATGTCACAGTTGCAATGGTCTTTTTAGAGGAAAGCTTGTAAGCACAAGCAACAGTAGTTACATCTTGTTTTTGTTAGTATAATTGTATAATAATGGATTATACTATGGAAATAATGTGAGTGAAATGACATAACATGGTCAAACAAAATATTGGCATGTTGAAGCATCATTTTCAACAGAACCACTTATTAAATATTCCCTATCTACCATTAGCAAATCATTATTTTGCTTTCCAGAAGATAAAGTTTAGTGGGAAGACTGGTTTTGAAAGAAAGACCTACAATTGGTGATTACCAGGCATCAAGGAGAAAGAGTAGGAGTAGGACAAGTAGTAACTAAAACAGAACACCTGAGTAACTCAAATGATCTGGTAGGCTTTATTTTGATAAATAATGCTGACTTTTTTCTATCCTTAGCATGAATAATATTTGGATATCCCAGCAAAAGATAGTTTTGTTAAATAAAACACATGTAACACAAAGATTGCAGCATGTGAGTTTGTCATATATAGTAAAAGATAACAGAATTTTCATTCTCTCCTACCTCATTCCAGAGTCAAGATCGATGCCACTCAGCATCTGTGCTGCTTTTGACCATAACTGTTCTGACTCATACAGCTCTGCAAGCTTCTCTCGAATAACAAGAACCTGCAAGATGCAGGGTCTATATGAAACTCTTATTGAAATATGAATCAATTCTAAAAATGCAGCCAAAAAACTGCTCATTCTGATATGTATAGAAGTCCCAAATGAAAGAAAACCACTAAAGAATGTCATCTTATAGAGCCTAACGAGACTATCTTAGTGTATAATATAAAAACAGCTACCACCATCTTGGGATGACATAAGAATCCCATTCACAGAATTGTTGTCACCTCCTAAAACCAATGTACTTTATCTCTACTTCAAAACACTCTAACGCTGCTACTGAACTATGCATAGATGATAAATGATTGATGATTTAGTATGAAACAAACCTGTTCCTCAAATGATACAACACGAGGCTGAATCTGATGGAGCGTGTAATGAGCGATCTCCTTTTGATTCTCAGGCTCCAACCTCCCCAACTCTTGTGCAAATGTCTGTAGCAGCTGTCTTGATACAACCAACGGAACATCGTCCGAAAGAACTGTCAATTCAACACAATAATCGATAAATAAAGTAACATACTACAGAAAATTACAGACTGCATCATCATCTGTTAGATAAAACCCTAACTGTGATCAATGAACTTTTTGGCTTGTACTACGTCGTTGGACGCGATTACGGATGAAAGAATATGCTTGTATTCTTCAATCTTTTGGCGTTGATCACCGATTGCAGAAGCACTTGCGAAGGCACTCTCCATTTGCACGGAGGTTTTGGGGTTCAAAGTTGCTAATTTCTGGAACCCTACAAATTTGCGCAAACCAGAACCGGGTTTTAGGAGCTCTTCCGCACTCTTATAAATTTAAAAGAAAAAGTGAAATAATATTTTATTTATTTCACAAAAATAATCAATTTTTCTATTTCATAAAATACTCATTAAGGCTATGTGCATCATAACACAATAACATAGCTCATCTACCCTTAAAAAAAATACCTGCCACTCTGTCACCTCAAATCATCTTAAATTTCTAATATAATAATGATATTAAAAAGAGACGAGTAAAAAGAGATAAACAAAAAGAAATAGTAAGAGTAGTGTTCGCATGTTATAACATAGCCATATTAACATATTTGCAACGATCCTCAATACTTCATTGATTTATATATGTCATTAAGCATCTATAACATGAGATTTTTTCTTTAAGTTTTTTCATGAAAAAACTTATTTTATCTTAACAATTGAATGAGCATTTTTATGTTTTATGGGATTTTTGTATAAGTTGTGTTATTATAATTGGTTAAAAACATATGTAGCCCACCAAATCATTGAAAAAACTATGTTTAAAGTCTGTTAATTAACAAGCTCCATTAAAACATAACTTTGAAAAAAAAATCCTATTAAGAAATCAGATGTTATTTGTCAAGAATCGGAACGCCACCTGCCAAACTTTGAGGGCCTTTGTTAGAAAGTAATGCAAATAACACATAAAAACCAAAAAACATACAAAACACATTATTTATGTGGTTCGATCAATGTAACTTGCGTCCACAGGAGGAGAGTATTATTTATCCATAAAGTTCTCAAAAATATATTACAAATACAACCCGCAGATATTCGATATACTCACTAAGGATACAAAAGACATTGAAGACAAACAAATGGCTAGTAGGCATCCATATTTATAGACTATGGATAAGAGCTGAAACCCTAATGGGTCAAACCTATCAATTCATAGGCCTATGAAAAGTATCAAACAATCACAATCCACTATCCAATCACTTCTAGAACCTTCATCATTGAAATACATTACATGAACATCAGCAAAACACATGATGGAGCGTCATGCACAATGATGGATCATCAGGAATGACAATGATGCATCATGATGGTGTATCCTCCACCATAGTGTATCATGCCATTTGGGGCATCCACCTTGAGCATCCTTGGACAATATTGAGTATCCTAGTGTACAACACAACCTATATGGCGCATCAAGCCACCTAATGGCACATCATGATCATTTGTGGCACATATATGCTTTAGCAACACATCAATACTTCGAATCATACAATGGCACACTAAAGTGGTGCACCTTATACCAAAGTGGCGCATCTAGAACAAAAGTGGCGTGCCATGTTCCCACAATAGCGCATCTACCTTCACAATGGTGCATCTACCTTCCAAAGTGGCGCACCATGCATGAAGATGGTGCATCTTGTCTATAGGCGACACACTCTCCTCCAAAATGGATCATCTTTGCTTCATGGCTCATCAAGGATGTTTCATTCTTTTCCCAGATGCTCTATTCCCTTCTAAGGTGCTCCACTACTCAGTAAGTGCTTCATTCCTTTCTTAAGTGCCCTTTCCTTTCTTAAATGTTTCATTCCCTTCTCAGGGGCTAACAAATGAAACAAAATGAAGAAAACGTTAGATGAGACAAACTGCTCTTTTACCCCTTTTCAACTCATCATATAGTAATGATCGGCCCCTTTCTAGTCCTTAATATGGAATCAGATTTTTTCTCAAACAAACAAAAATAGACTCCAACATATACAAAGGCAAATAAGATCAATATGGGACAACTAACAACCTTCATCTGCTTCATTATAAATAAAGTTGCAACAAAAAAAAAAGTCAAACAATCTTGTAAACTAAAAGTTCCAATAAATATCGAATACAAATTACTAAAACAACATTAAAAATATAGTTCCACATGCAATTTAACCTTATTTACCTATGAATAACAAGTTGTTGAGTTCAAAAGATTGTATGATCAACATCAAATTCCTATACTCTTCCTTGGATCTTTAGAGGCTTCTTTGGGATCTTGAAGGCAGCAAAAACAGATTGACTAAGCTCAACTACACTACTTTCTTTATTACCAACATTGGTTTGCACAGAAGATTGCTTCAGCATCTCAAAAAATGAAGTGCTGCTGTTACTGTTACTGCTACTGTTTTCATTACTTGATCTGACTTGTGACTGTGAGATGCTGTACTTGGTTGTAACTTTCTTGGTTTGGATTTCCTTTGTTGTCTGCATCACCCAACAATCATCATTACATTATTCATTATTTTATTGAGATAAGGTAACATAATTTAAATAAAATATAAAATCATAAAAATATAAAGATACTTGAAACACTTACTGTATCTGAAGCATCCTCTGAAATTGACATTGAGCTTCTGCTATTACTGTCATCTCGTCCAAATATAAATGCTCGACTGGGACCCACACCGGATCCTTGTTTCAGTTGTTTGGAGGAAGTTGGAACAGAATGGCTTGACACTCGACTCAAGAAAGATGACTGCAGCAATTATAAACTTCATAACTTATTAATGTGTTAAATGTGATTATATAAAAAAGTTTAGTTTACCTTAGAAGAGCTGTTGCTATTCCCTCCTATTGTATCAATGAATGCTGCAAAAAAGTATCAATTAAGGCAAAATGACAAGATTTTAAAGTAATCAAAGTATCCACTCACATTCACAACTTACCTGTTATCTTAGCCTTCTTGTGTGCATCAGGCACTGTATTTAGCTTCTTTATACGACAAAAAACTTCCCTTGAATCATCATCCTCATCAGGTGACACTAATTTACACTTTTCTTCCTATTCAACATACAATATGAGTTTAAAATTTAAATATTTTTATTACAAGGATATATAAGATTCAAAAAAAACAAATTACTCACAGCTTTGTTGAGCAGACGTGTTTTGGCAAGTATCTTCTCTGTTTCCTCGTCATCAGATGATGAAAAAGCTTCATCTTTATCAAGAAACATCTGAGCAATCATTTCCTTTGCTTTTTTTGAATTTAATCGAGGAACACGTGGGCGTTCTTCATCTTCATCTTCTTCAACATCATCATCCGCCTCTACATCCTCTTCACCTTCCTTATTATCATCATCATCATCAGATAAAGATTCCTCTCTGAGTTTAGAAGCAACATTTAGTCTTCTCAAAAGATCATCAGTTCCAGCTGCATCTTTTTCTTCAAGCCATTTTTGGTGAAGTTCATCTCGGGTTTCTTTGTCAACTGGTTTTTCTTTATACCCAGTGACTATCATCTCTCTCAGTTCCTCAATGTCATCATCATCATCATCTTCATTTTCTTCATCATCTCCAAATCTCATTCTGTCATTGTCACTATCATCTTCTTCCTCAGCCTCATCATCAAGAAATGCTTTTACAGGAGCTCCTTTTGGAGAAGAACTCTCTTTCACATACGGAGCAACATTCTCCTTGTCGTTTTCTTCTTCATCAGAGCTGAAATTTTGGATAAGAGTCACATATTTAGATGGTAATTATTACAAGTTTCACACAAAGAGTAGAGCTTAAACTTACATATCATCAGGAACAGAATCAAACTTTAATTTCATTGTTAGCAAAGAAGGTTCCATTTGTTCTTCTTGAGAGCTAATAGCATGTTCATCAGGTTCCTCATCTTTAGAGTCTGTGCTATCACTTGTTTGAGAATCACCAAAAAGATCCTACATTTAGCAAAGTAATGAGCATACATGGACAAAAAGGTTGAATATAAGTTGGGTAAAATATTTTTCTCAATAGAGATAGAAGTTAAAAATAACCTGAGTATCATCAACTGGAGCCCGAAGAACAGGTGTAGACTTGTCATCCAAAGGCTGTAGCAACGTTAAAAGATATAATCATATGCAAAACTTTGATACAAAATAATTCTTGCAAAATATAATTTTATATTCATAACTGCATACCATTTGAGAAGAATCATTGTCATGGGTCTTCTGTTCTCCACAGACATCAGGTCCATCCATATCAATATCATCTTCTTTTGGGCCACTTAAAACTTCATCTTCTTTCACAGACTCTGATATGTCACCAACTTCTATTTCCACATTCTTGGAATGATTTGTGGTCTGTTTCTGAAAAGCATCAGCTTCCTTAACAGGATCATCACAATTAAACTGGGAAAACCTGAAAATTTACAATAAGAAGAGGGTATGAAACTAGGGATATAGGCCACATGTACCAAATATAATAAATCAAGATAAATACTCACTTCTTTGACACCTCAAGCTTCCTTTGTCTTATTTTTTCCAAAATGGATGATATGGGCTTTTGCACAACTGGTACTGGTTTAAACGAAGCACCTCTAGTCTCTAACATATGAGATACATGGAATACAAATCAGAGCGATAAAGAATATTATATAGAATGCATTGCTACCATTAAGAAACACCAAGTGATAATACATGATTAAAACAAGCACCTCTTAAAAGTCTCTGAGATTCAGCATGAAGTTGTTCTAGATGAGCTCTCCTTTCCTGTAAATCCAATAAACAAAATCACCAACAGGGGGATATGATACAGCTCAATGCAAAATAAGTAACTGTGTTTTTTTTAACTTCTTTTATATTTTTAACATTAGAAAATAAAAGACATAACTCGTAGTTAACCTGAAAACGACGAGAAAAGTTATCTAATCTAAAACAATCGAAAGACTAGAAGATATGTACCTTTGCTTCCCTTTTTTTGTTAGTAGAAGAGGCTTTGACTTTTGGGTCCTCACTGGAACTCTTATGTCTCTTTTTCCTCCCTTTCTTCTCATTCATCGCATCCTCATTTACTTCCTTCTCCTCATTTTCCTTGATTTTCATATCTGCAATCAATTCTTCCTTTCCCACCATTGAATCAACTACATTCTCAGTAATCTCATCGTCAAAATCCAATGTTCTCTTCGTTTCCTTCCTATCTGTTCTCACAGGCGATTCACCAGCAACAGAGTTCATCTCTGCTTCATTTCCCACCATTTTATCCACTGCACTCTCAGTAATCTCATCTTCAAACTCCAATGCTCTCTTGGTTTCCTTCCGATTTGTTCTCACGGGCGTGTCACCAACGCCAGAATTTGAATTATTTTCCATTCCATCATCACCCAAACCTTCTTCAAACTCTAAATCTCTCTTTGTTTCCTTCCGACCGCTATTCACGCGTGTATCATCATAACAAGAGCTCAGATCTTTTTCCTTCACACTACCGTCATCAAGCCCCTCTTCGAATTCTAATAACCGCTTCGTTTCCTTCCGATCTACATTCACAAGCGTATCAGCACAAGCAGTGCTCGGTTCTTTTCCATCTACATCATCATCAAAACTCTCAGCCGGCAGAGACGAATGCGGCTCACATGAATCATCAAATGCTCGGATATCTGAAGATTCTAGGGCTTCTATACTGATAAAATCAACTTGAGGCAAGTCAATGAGTTCGCTTATTGATTCGACCGGGGCTGATTGATCTACAACAACCGTAGATTTCTTGAGGCGTTTGAGTCTTCGATGCTTGGGTGAAGGTGAAGGCTCGTTGTTGGGAAAGGAAAATGACTCGTAATCATCGTCGATTTCCATCGTCTGTGATGAAAATGTCAGAGAATTAGGGTTTTGATTTGGTGGAGAAAGACTGGAAATGAATCTGATTATCTGAATGAGTATATTTGCAGGTGAGGATAAAGAAAAGAGCGGTGGGAGGGGGGTTATGGAGGGAGATGCAAAAATGGGTGATTTGGGCGGCAAGTGTTTCGAAATTTGTTAAGGCGCTAAAACCGATTTTTGCTAATAGCGTAAAAGAAATTTGGCCCTTAGGTTTGCTATGATGTTATATTCACCCTTGAAGTTTGGTGAACTACAAGATCAGTTTTTTTACTTATGATAGCAAAGAGAAATATGATTGCTCCCTGTCATCATCATATATCAAAAGCTTATGGTGATGGTCATATCTCATATGGATACATTGATCGAGCAAGATCCGCGAATGAATGACATTGTTTTGTTTTCCGTACAATTAGTCAAGAACACAACTGAACAATGGATTCTTTTGTTGGTTTATTCACATTTAATAAGAGAAATTTTCAAATATAACCAAAATACAGATCTTAGAGACAAAAAAATGAGATTTTCTAGAAATAATCAACGAGACCCATCTTTTCCTCAGCGAACTTAAAAATTATGTTTCAAAGTTTTAGCCTGCAATGTACAATGAGTCCACAAAAAACCTTTTGCGAACTCACTTTGTGAAGAACAAGTTCGCATAACAATACATCAGTCCGCAAATCCATAGAGGATGATGTATTACGAAAAAAGTATAATAACACGAGTATTAAGAAGGAAAGCGAGTCCATAGACCCTTTGTAGACTCTTGATTGATTTTGGAAAACCTCCTTGTTTTTTTGGTAACTTTTTGGCACTCCGGTTTGTATTTTGGTAATTTTTGGAAATTCCTCTTTATTAATTAAATAAATAAGATTTTATCTTTATCCACGAAAAAAAATGGTTTTAGTTTAACAGATAGACCTACAAAACAAACAATTTTTGTTCCAATGTCATGGTAATTATATCATTATTTTGAGCAATATTCAAATATTGGATGAATCATCTCAAGATTGTCAAGATCGGGATCCTACCTAGGATCGCTTTTGGGTTTGCAAGATCAGAATCCTAAGATCCCACAAGATAAAATATAATTTTAATTTTTAATTTTTAATCATAAAAAATATTTAAAACATTCAATTTTTTATTCAAAAGTTATAAAAACTTCAAAATATTAGTAATAGACCACAATACAAAATGGTAAATTGATAAAAGATAAGACATAAAATGGTAAAAAATTCATCTGCAAAAAAAAAATAATAATAATAAAATAAAATAAATAATCAAGGAAAGGTAGGATCGGATCTCAACTTTACCTACAATTCTACCCCACGGTCTTTTTACGATTCGGATCGTTTTTCATACCTAGGATCGTACGATCCTACGATCAGAATCGCGATTTTGACAACCATAAATGATCTATCAAAGCAAACAAGGTAAATCGGCAAAAGGTGAAATCATAAAACCAATATTTCGGATGCAAACCCGGATACAACCTTTTGCAAATTACTTATAATTTAAAAAGATGTTTAATTTATATTCTAATACGAAAATTGTATACATCTTTGATTAATCTGAAAGATATATAAAACCGAAAGGAAGACAACCCTATCTTCTAACTCATGTTCAAGAGAGGAAGCCTTATGGAATAATTTAAACCAATTTATATGACACAAACGGTTTAGACTTTAGGCAATGATGCTTACAAAGGTATGTAAATAGTTACATCATTGAAAAGACAATATTAATATCGAACCAAGTTAACATGTAAACTGATATCAATAAAAATGGCAACCAAATTTCACATTTCAAAATCCCACGTGCTTTCAGCTGTCACTCGTGGGACTTTTACTCCATCCTCCAAGTTGAAAAGTGCTGAAATCTGCATATGTAAGAAAACCATGGTTAGTAATTTGCTTACATGTAAATACATATATAATATATATATATAGATTGAGATTCTCATAATTTTGAATAGGATTGCAAAATGTCTTTGGAAGGAAATGGAATCTACTAAAAGAATTGGAATCTCAAGGAATTTGAATCTATCATGTGTTTGGTTGGGCATGAATTGGAATGTAATTCTTTGATGTTTTCTGTTTGGTTTGAAAATTGATCCTTGGATTATGTATAAAAGGAGGAATTTGCCTTTTTAAATAAAGGAAGGGAGAATGGAATTTCATTCCTTGGACCTACCACTAAGAATGAACAAATTATATGTTGAAGTTGATGTATATTTTTCTTATTTAAGTATAGTTTTTTTGTAAACATGTAACAATTATAGTTTCATTTCATCTGTAACTTCAATTTTTGTTCAACAACTGTTCATTACTATGTATTTTTGGAAGCTTTCATAAACCGATATAAAAAAGACATAAAGCCAAAGATTTGTGAAGAACATAAGGAGCATAATGTAATACCTTATAAGATCCAGCCATCTGTGATTTAGTCGTCCAATCCAGTGCCAAATTTTGGTTGGAGGTCTGATACACAGCTCTTAACACGTGATCTGTGTAAACCTTCCTTGAAACAGCAAAATCCCATGAATCTTTGGCCAATTCATAGCTAGGTTCAATGGTCAACCCTCCATGGACATAAGTGTACTTCAATTTGCAGTTTCCAGAACCAAGAACATGATTGGCTGATACCTTGTTGGCTGAATCAATCACCAGTGTTCCATCCAGCATAGTTCGCTGATCTCCTCTGCTGTGACTGTACACCAAGTTTAATGGCTTCTCTGAAATTTTGATTGTGTTCATGAACTGAAATCTGAAGTCCTGTAGCCCAAACAAAATGCAATTCAGGAACAACAAATTCATATTACATTACCCACACAGTCTATAATCTACACCAATAGACAAGACACAAAGATGAGTATAAATATACAGACACGCTTGTAATTGGTGTATAGATAAGCTTATTCGCGTATAATTTTGCATATAATTGACCTATCGTGTTCATAAATCCGAAACCTAAAATCAATCGTCCGACACGCATCGATAAAATCAGAAGAGCTAGTTTGTAATATATGCGTACTTAATCGAATTCACAAGCAGAAGCATAAATTTTAAAAAAAAAAAAAAAAAAAAAAAAAAAAAAAAAAAATCAAGCGGCAAAAGGAGCAAATATACAAACTTGTATTTTCATCGATATATGTTATCTGATTAATAACATCACATCTATGAATTTCACTGTATTAGACCTAATCTGAACTCTGGGGTACCTTTTTGGGGACATTGTAGTCGATGGTGAAGGATCCAGGTTTATCCACGGCTAGAGCTAAACCGTTTAAGCAGGGGCCGTTGACCAGAGTAGCATCGGTCATGGAAGCACGGAGTTTGACATCGCCGGCGTTAAAGGCGAGGGTGATGGCCGAGGCGGGGGTGGTTTTGTCGGCGTCGTACTTTGCCTTGAAAGACGCCTTCATTTTGTGGAGCCGGAGTAGTTGCCCTAGGCGCCGCAAGGAGCCAAAAGACTACGTGTATACCTTTGTAGAAAAAAGCAGTAAGCGGAGTTATCGGTTTCTCCGGCCAATATTTTGTTGTGGTTTGGTGAGAAACGTTTTTTATGTTATTATTTTTGTCTCTATTTTTGAGAAATCTCGAGCAATAAATAAAAAAAAAAAAAAAGTTTTTTTTTTTTTTTTTTTTTTTTAAGAAAATGACCATGAAAAATAAGGATTTTAGAAAATAAATACAGGTTAGGCAGTGAAGGTTCTACGGATTTTTTTTTTTTTTTTTTTTTATTTTCATTTATTAATATTATTATTTTTTTAATCACATAAGTTATTATGTGATTATTATGTAAAAAAAATTGTTTTCATTTTTTCTTTTTCTTATTTAATTACCCGTTTAAAAAAGTTGTGTGTTTAATAAAAATTATACAAATATTTCATGTTTTATATAAAATTATACATACCGATATTCTAAATAATAAACATACTTTAAGTAGGTTAAAAAACATATTTTAGAAAACATAAACATACAGCATTCATAATAAACATACTTAGAAATAAACTTCATTCATTCAAATCGAACCACGGAAACTCTGATCTGTTACAACCTTCATAATAAACATACTTATAAATAAACTTCATTCATTCAAATAGAACCACTAAAACTTTGATTTGTTGCAACCTTCATAATAAACATACTTAGAAATAAACTTCATTCATTCAAATTAAACCACGAAAACTTTGATATGCAGAAGTCCAGGTAAGGAGTTTTTGACACATCATTTAGCCACATAAGAACTGTTTTCTGGGGATCAGTATACACATCTGCGGATTAATGTGCACCTCTATATATCAGTTATAAAACTGTTTTCTGCGGATTAGTGTACACCTATGCATAACTGTTAGGGAATACGCAGAATAGCTTTATGGGGATAAGTGTACACCTCTGTGGATCAGTGTACATCTCTGCATAACTGTTAAGGAATACGCAAAACTTTTTTCTGCGGATCAGTATACACTTCTGCAAATTTGTGTACACCTATGCAGATCGGTGTACACCTCTGTGGATCAGTTATAAAAGTTATATATGTTTTTAAGTGTTTTTTTGTGAGTTTATGAGTTTTCAATTACCAGTAGAAGTTGTTTTTTCATTGTGTTTGTGGAGAGTAATTTGTAAAATGAGTTTTATTATTTTGTGTACGGGAGGGTCGTGGTTGTTAGTTAATGGAAATGAGGTTTACGTTAGAAATAATTTGAAAAACTATTGTTTAAATCTTCCTCCTAACATTGACCATAAAATGTTATTACAAATGGTTAGAAGTAAGGCAGGTGTGTTAAATAGTCATATATGTTTGTCTTTTAAACACTCGGAGTTAGGGTATGTCATGGTGCTTGGAGATTAAACTGATGTATTTCAATTGAGACGTGTAATGTCTGAATCAAAGAAGACGGTGCATTTGTATTTAACGGTGGTAGGCGAAGAAGCTGAAGAACGAGCAATGTTAACAACCAGTTTAATCTAGCAAAAACTAATAGAAGTCGTAGAGGAAGCCAATGTGATGGAAACTGTACAAAGGGGAAGAGGAAATGAAGTGCTAATGGGTTATGAAAAAAAAAAGTTTCGGTTAATGATAAATTTGTATCTGATAATGATACTTTTGTATCA